GTGCCACAGGCAGAACCTAATTCTTCCGACTGCCCTGAGCACACCTGGAGGCTTTGCAGCTCTGAGTCTGCACACATTTTTTCCTCCGCTGGGAATAGCCAGGCAGCCTTCATCTGCCTGCTGGCCTCCATTCACCTCCACACGCAGCTCTGCGACGCCTTCCCTGGTTATCCCAGGGCAGTGAGTACTTGAATCTCTGAGGTTTGCATGGAGCTGAAGGGCTGTACCTGTGCAATGCCGCCTAGCTTGTTGGTTACCTGTCTGTCTATCCTACCACATCTGAATTCACATTTACCCAGCTCCCTATCTTCAGTGAACCACCCAGAACTAAAGCACAAGTGGAATCCTGGGACCTTTTTGTTAAATGACTGAATGAGGGTCAAAATGGTTTTAATGCTCAGAGCAGATCTGGAGGTCAGATTGTTCTTCCAGGGAAGAAGGTGATGCTAGAGCTGAAAGTGGTCTAGATGTCCAGTACTGGCTTATAACACTGCCTATATTTGGGGAATAAAGGTTCCCCCCCATGTGTCTTGAAACAGTGCGTGATCCACGGTCCTCTGTGCTCCCTCTCTGTTCTTTTCTTGCTTCATCCCCACCCCTCTGGTTCCTCAGTTCTGTAATCAGCTCGCAAGGGTTAGTGTTTGATTTTTCTGACCCTTCCTGTTGTTGATTCTTCCTGTTGTTCCTGGAGGCTGGGTGCCAGCCCAGGGCTCCCACATGTTCTTGGAGACTGTTCCCTGGGGGTGAGTGATAATCAGTTGCTCTCTTATCTGTGACCAACTTGGCTCCAGACACCCTTCTTTTACAACAATGGCGCCAGGCTCTGCCCGCCTAGCAGTGCTGTGACATGGAAGCTGGCATCAAGGAAGGGCAGAGTGGGAAAGGCCCTATGAAGTCCACCAAAATACCCTTGTCTGGTTTTCAGATGGGGCAGCAGAGAACCAAAGAGGACAGTGGTGTTCCCAGGGTCACATGGTGATGAAAGGTACAGACATCAATTCTTTTTGATCTTATCATATAGTCAAAAATAATAATCAAAGGTTTGAATCACTGGATTTGCTACAGAGAGCATGTTTGGGGGCTGCGGGGGAGGCCCTTGAGACTAGGAGGACAGGGAAGGCCTCTCTGAGGCTGACCTGAGATGCTAGACAAATGGCAATCTGGGAGAAGAAAGGAAAATAGCCTGTGCAAAGGACCTTAGCGGGGACCAGATGCCAATTTTGGGCTAGCGTGGCTAGAGCAGTGACTCAGCAGAGACATGTTTGAAAGTGGGGGTAGGTTCCATCACGTAGGGTTTGCCGATGTCTGTGGGATTTGCATTTCAGTCTAAAGAGAATGGCTCAATGAAGCTTTCAAAGATAGCTCTGATCTGAACAGACGGTTCTGAAAAGATACACAAATGGCTAACAAGCACCCCGAAAAGATGTTCAAATCCATTAGTCATCAGGGAATGCAAATCCAAACCACAATGACACCCACCTGGATGTCTAGAATCCAAGTCAGGTAATCAGTCAGTAAGGACCTGGAGGACCTGGAACCTTTGTGCCTTGCCAGTTGGGATGTAAGATGGTGCAGCTGCTTTGGAAAACTGGCTGTTCTTCAAATGGTCAAACAAAGCATTATCACATGATCTAATAGTTCTACTCCTAGGTAGTTACCCAAAATAAATGAAAGTCGATGCCTTACACAAAAAACCTGTACACAAATGCTCACAGCAGCCTTCTTCATAATAGCCATAAAAAGGAATTGATGAATGGAGAAACAGAATGTGATCTATTGCTACACTGGAATGTTATTTGGCCATAAAAAGGAAAGAAGCTTTGCCACATGCTACAACACGGAGGATTCCTGAAAACATCATGTTACATGAAATAAGCCAGAAAGGCACTTCTATAGAGACAGAAAGCCTGACTATAGTAGAGAGTGGATAAGGAGTTATGTATAAAGTACACATTTCTTAATGTAAAAATATTTCTAATGTATTGTTTCTTTTGGAGGTGATAAGTACATTCTGGGATTAGATGGTGGTGACGGTTCTTCAGCTCTGTGTTTATAATAAATATGATTGACTTGTATCTTTAATGGGTGCATTTGATGGTATAAAAATTCTCTATCTATAAAGCTTTTATCTTTAAAAAGAAAAGACCACTGTGGTTCCTGATGGGGCAGAATGGCCACAGGACAGCCAGGCGGTCAGCTCATATGGGTGGGTGGGTGCCTGATGTAGGCTGACCCAAGTGCCCTTCCCTTCAATCAGAATTTTGCAACTCAGCACTGCTGGCATTTGGGACAATCCCCTGTTATGGGGGCGCGGGGGCTGTCCTGTTTGTTGGGAGATGCAGCAACACCACCTTCTACCCACTAAATGTCAGTATACCCCAGCACAGTTAGTATGACAATCAAAACTATTTCCAGATGCTGAAAGAGGTACCCTGTTCCCAGTTGAGAATCACTGTTCTGACCTCTTTTGCTCACCTGGTACAGTCTTGCTTATCCTTCCAGAATCATCTCAAATCTCATCATTTTTGGTAAGCCTTTATTTACCCTTCAATTTCTGAAGAGCCATAGCTTGCTCCCCCAGTGACCCATCAAATCAAATCTCTAAGGACACTGTTTACATACTACTTTCTCCAACACCCACCCACCCTCAGAAATCTCATCTTAGGGCTCACTGTGTGCAGCACCAAGCCTGGCACTTTGGAGGCCTCTAGAGGCTGAAGAGTTCCATGGCCATAACTATCAAATGAACTATGTGTTCATTGCATATCATCAGTAAAAGTTAAAAACTTATAGAGTCAGGGAACAAATCACCTGTGACCTGGCCACCCACTGGCAAACATTATTAACATTCTTCAGCCTATTTCCTTCCAGTCTTTTTTCTTAGTGCTTGCCACAAATTGTAGGCAAGCCATACACATGCATATGCATAAGCATGTCCCCATTCATTAAAAACTCTCTGTTTTTAGAAGCCACATGACTCTCCCATAATTTACTTAATTGAGTCCCTATTGTCGGACACTTAGGCACTCTCTGATTGTTGATGAATCTGTGCATTTGAAAGAGCCTTTGTTCCTATTCCCATAGCTTTGGATGTCCTCCTCTTCTTTTAAATTATTTTTGGCAAAGGAACCTCTCTAGCCTGCGAGACACCCATTTTCCCATAGCAGGAGGCCCATTTTTCCCATCATCAGGGATTTCCTACCAAACTGAGCTAAATCTTTGGGATTGGGACTTAATCCTGTTTCAGCTTCTTGGGGACTTTGGTGGAAATGGACCACAGCTGGCCTGGACATATCAGCTGGGTGGTGGGGTCAGGTCAGTTAGTCATCAGCAGGATGGAAAGTGCCTTGGGGATCCAGGAGAAGCCAGCTAGGCCAAGTTTACAGAGAAGAGGTCAGCCTGAACAAGGTGGAAGAAGAAGGACTAGAAAGTGGCTGGCTGAAGTGAGTCAGCCTGATGGCTGCTTCCTAGGTGGTGTTGAGTAGAGCACTTCCTTCCTTAAAGACCCCTAGAGAAATCATTTGGCAAAGGCCCCAAACTCCGCCGCTGACTTTACGATTCGCTTTCTCCAGGGATTATTCTTAGTATACTTGGAGAAAACACCAAGGTTGAGTGGGGCCTCCTGTCAGGTGCCAGACCCTATGCTAGACACCTTTCTGTCATACTGAGGGAAGTGCTCTGCGCTGGGGCAGAACTGGGGCTCTTCTCCACTCAGGCACTTCCCACCAGGGTGGCCAAGCGCATCGGGATTTACTGGTCCTGATCCAGGGCTGTGGTAACTACTGTCGCTACTGTATACACAAGGCACCAGGCACAAGGCCTGTATGGGGCTGGCACTGCAAAAATGTTTTCTCCTTGGATTCCATTCTTCTCATGTGTCAGGGTCAGAGATGTCAATACATGTAATCCACCTAATTGCCGTTGGTAAACTCCAGTGACAGGGATGTCATTAGCAGGAATAACTTCCTATTAAAAATTAGGAAACTGAGATGAAGCGGGATGAAGCCAGGAGTCTGTATTGTATGTAAACTGCCATCTCACAGATTTCCTATCATTGGGGTGTGTGTCTGGTTTGGGGGTGGGTCTCCTGGGGCCCCCTCACTCCTTGGGTCCTGCTTCTTTGACTATCTCTGTTTAAGGAGCCCAGAGAGGACCTAGTGCATGTAGACCAGCGCCCAGACTCTCTGGCCATCTCAATTAGGGTGTGACAGCTGTCACCAAGGGCACCACCACTGGCAGGTATTTTCCTGCCCTAGCACCCTATTCTCACAGTCTTCTCACTTTAAAGGGGCACTGGCAAGCCCCTTTCCGTGGGCATGGGTGGGACTGAGGCTCACAAGCTCAAGGTCAATTGCACTACTTAAGCAGCATTCCCAGGGAGGCCACTTGTCCAGTCACCCCCCACCCCCAAGCTTCAGCTGTGCACTGCTCCATTCTCACTCCCGGGCATGGGGCAGCAGCCCAGGAAGATGAAAGCCAGAAGCCCCTCACAGCCTGAAGAGCTAGGAACCCCACCCCCTGCCAGTCCCCAGGCCTTTTATTTTATTATTATTATTATTATTTTAAGCAGAAAGTAGCTCCATGATAGACACATCGCCCAGGAAAAAAAAATGCCACCGCCCAGATGCGGGGACAAAACAGAGGCTGCTCGGGCGCAAGTGGACTTTCCAAATCCACCCCCACGCGGGCGGAGGGGACGCAACCCGACCTCGAGCTGAAGCCGACTCTGGCGGCAACCCCTCCTCTCAACGCAACGCCCCCTCGGGCACGACCCCCCCGCGGATCACCGAGGAGGAAACTGAGGCTCGCAGGTGGAGGGACCTGCCAAGGTCAGGCACAGCCAGCTAGCGGAGGGGCCGGGGCCAGAACCTGGGCTCCCACAGGGGTCTGGCTCACCGCCGCGGGGATCCAGGAGTAGCCGCGCGGGGGCGGCTTCCCCGGAGCCGCTGGCGATCCCACCCGGAACCCCCGAGGCCCCGCGGGGAGGCTGCGGCCGTTACCTGGAGCTGCAGCCGCCGAGCGTGGCTCCGCTCCGGCTCGCCTGGTCCTGCGCCCGCGCCGGCTCCGCTCCGGGCAGGGATGGAGCGGGCGGCGCGCCTCGCACCCACTTCCTCGTCTCCGCCCCCAGCTCGCTCCTCCTCGCTTCCAGCCGTTCCTTCCCTCCCAGCCCCTCCAAGTCTCTCTCCCCCTCGCTCCTTCTCTCCCTCTTTCCTCTTTTCCCCTCACTCCTTGCACCGCGCGCGCTCACATTTCCTCTTCTTTTGCTGCTCTCCCTCTCCAAGCTGAGGCTCGTCTCCCACTCCCCCGCTCCTCCCTTTCCTTTCTCTTAGACCTTCTTTCTTTCTCTGGCTCTGACACGTCCCCCTCCTTTTTTTTCTGTAACATTGCCCCCTCTTTCTCACTTTCCCCTCCTCCGCACACTCCCCCACAGCCCGGCCGGGACCCTACATCCAGCTGTGTGCTAATTGCCTGAGCTGCAGGGGATCCCCGGCAGGGCCCCGCGCGGAATCTGCTCACAGCTGGAGGGTCTGCCCTGGCAGGGCGCTGCCCGCGCCACCAGGAGGACCGGCACCTTGGGGGCCCTAGCAGCCCGCGGCCAGGAATCTGGTTGGAAGAGAAAACTAGTTTCAAAGGGAACGGCTGCATAATTCTGGAATCTGAAAGCTGGAAACTGAGGATCTGAGGTTAAAAGGCGCAGAGACCCCATGCAGGGGTTATTAATGATTTTTTAAAAAGTGGAGTTTCAGATACCCGCCCTCCCCCACCAGTGGATTTGTTCTAGTTGAAGGAGATGGAGAGGGAAGAGGCAGGGAGGAGGGTCTTGGGGAACAGAGTTTGTGGGCTAGTGAAAATAACGCCCACTTTCCAGATGGGAAAACCTATCTTTTAAATATCAAGCTATCAAGGCTGCTGTGCTAACTCTGCACCCTGAGAGGATGGATCTTGGGTGCACAGGATGGTCACAGTGCTATGCCTAGTCCAGGTTGCCAGCCCACGGAAGGTGAGGCGTTCTATCTCTGGGTGATTGGGTCTGTGAAACCTGATGAGCTCTAAGCCCCTTATCACAGACAACACCATTTGGCCAGAGGCCACCTCTCTGATCTATTGTCTCATTATTCTCTGCTTGATGCCTCTGCCACAGCAGCCTCCTCCCTGTGCCCAGAATGGGCCAAGTCTGAGCACACCAACCGCAGGCCATTTGCACAGACCACGCCCTCTGCTGGAATGCTCTTTTCCATCTTCCTGCTGCTACTGCTCAAACATCAGAGAGGCTCCAGAACTGATCATCTCACATAAAGCAGTGACCCCCTTGCCGGTGTTTTCTACACCATTCCAAGAATTACTTGTTTATATGCATATTATCTGTTTTACCTCTATAGAATATAACTGGTTTTATCTCCGCAGAATATAACTGAAGGAGCAGGAGCTTGGTTCCCTGTCTCTCCCCAGAGCTTGGAACTCAGCAAATCATAATGCCCCCAAAATGTTTGAGGAATGAGTGAATAAGTAGGGGCTATGATGAAGAGATTTAGAGAAGAGGATGGGTTGATTGGTCCTGCCAAAGGACAAAAGATTACTTTTAGAGAGGTGTGGGTTTTAGAGCCAAGTCTATTGTCAGTAGGCAGGAATTAGTTTCCTTAGGGCTTTAGCAGTGAAAGTTTGGACTTGATCATGTGAGCAACGGGCTTCAGGCTTGGGGGCTGGAAAAGCTGGGATGTGACCCTGGAGAAAGGAAGTATCCAATGATCTGTGGAGCTGTGGGGCAGATGGTCGAACAGACTTTTATCCAATGGAAGGAAGAGAATGAGTCCGATGTGGGCTCTGTAAAGAAAATGGGCTCCATCTGGGTGGATTGCTGTCTGCTCATTTTCAGTGCTCCTTTCAGAACGTTGATGCTAAAAATCTGTGACAGCTTGGCCATGGATGTATTGGCAGGTGTGAGTAGTGTCACTTCTATGCCGAAGCTCTGGGCCAGCAAAGTATTTGCCATGTCCTTTACCTGTCTGTCTCCTTTCAGGTAGCTTCCTGGGAGAAGCTGCCTCACTTCATCACCTTGGGTCACAGAATAAAGTCCCAGAATCCAGCCAGTCCCCAAGGGACTTGTAATGTGAACAAAAGATACATTTGTTATAAGCCATTCAGATTTCTGGAGTCATGTGATTTTTGCTGGATAATCATGATTCTTCGGGTTTTTCCTTACGCAACCAGAGGTCCAGTCAAACTGGTCCCAGCACTTCCCAGTCATGATAGATCATTGAAGATGGCCACAGACAACTTGGCCTAAGCTCATTTGCAGTGTGACAGCATCTCCTAGAAGAGATGGCATGTATGTCCCTTCCCCTGGTTTGCTTGTGACTTGCTATGACCCATGGTGCCCAGTGGAAATGACACTGTGTGACTCCTCAGGCTAGGTCTTGAGAGGTCTGCACACTCCCACTTTCACTATCTTGGAATAATGCTCTGATACCACCAGGCTGTGAAGGTGCCCAGGGTCATGGGGAGGGAGATGAGCAGCTGACCCACGTCTAATAACCACATAATGAGCTCAGGCAAAACCAGGAGAGATGCATCTAGCCAGCCCTCAGAGCTGAGATAATCAGTGCATCCTTCTCCTAAGCCAGTGAGTTTTGGGGTGGTTTGTCACCAAGAAAGGAGAAACTAGATGAGGGACTTTACAGGGAGCCCATTTCTGCCTCAGAGCCCATTTCCTGGACCATTAAATAAGCACAACAGTGATGGCAGCCTCAAAAAGTTTGGGTGAGACTCAAATGAAAAAAAAATGGATATTCAATTTGTTCATTCATTCAGCATTTCTATTGGACCAACAGTATGTCAGGTATTGGGTTAACGTGGGGATACAGCCATGTACAAGATAGGCAAGGATCTGACCTGCTCGAGGGAGGAGAACAACGAGGAGCAGACCAGATAATTTCAGCTAAAGATAATTGCTATGAGGAAAGCAAAGCAGGGTAATGTAATTGAGAGTAACCGGGGGTGGTACTTTTTAAAGCTAGTTGGAGAAGGTTTTTTCTGAGCGTGTGACATTTGCACTGAGCCAGGCTTATGCAGATAAGGGGAAGCAGTATGCCTTGTAGAGGGATATACAAATGTCCCGAGGTAGGGTCAAGGTTCTGGGCAAGGAACAAGGAGAAGGTCATCCTGGCTGAGTGTACGAAGGGAAGAACAGTGGTTGGAGGTGGATGGGAACAGAGCAGTGGTGGGGCCTGTGATTTCTTCCTAAATAAAATGGAGCACTGGGGGTGTGCAGTAGTGTTGTGATCCCCCTCCCGACGTCATTCCTTGAGAAAGTGAGTTAATGCTGCAGCAACTCATGGATGGCCACGCACTGTGAGTGATGCTTGCAACCAATTACAGCTCAAAAAGTTTCCAGTTCCACAGTAGGTTGGAAAACCCTTGGCCACTATGGAACATATTCATCATTACTTCTGATAGACTCTCCACCTTGCAAAAGGGCTTTGGGACCTGAGGGCTTCAGTTCCCTCTTCTCTCTGAAGATGTAATAAGGACCATCTTTCAAAGGAAGCCGGAAGAAGCTTCTTATTCTGAGGAAACCCAAACCCCTATTTGACCAAAATAGAAAAAGCATCTTTTCTTTGGATGAGTAATCTCTGCCGAGTCTGACAACTCAAAATTAAAAAAAAAAAAAAAA